CCCCCCCCCCCCCCCATCAGACCCACAGCACTTGCTAGTGCAGCATGCTTGGCCTCATGCAGTGTTCTGGCTGTGTTGGTGCCCCGGTCAAATTGGAGCTGAATTGCTGCCAGGAATACATAGCTGGAGACCCGATCCAGCTGCTTGGCTTAGACTCTAAGCTGTATAGAGCATACACTCCAAGCAGGGCAGTCTCTAGTAAACCTGCTAATGGAAAGTCTTGTCATTTATTATAGTTTACATGGGAAAATTTTACTTGTTCCAGCACTGCGGTTCTGTAGGCATTGGGAGAGCCTCTGCCTCAATGCTTTAGTGTAAAAATGGGTTTCCTTCAGTTTGTCTCAAAACAGTTCTCAGCTGACCTTATGTAAACCAAAATAAGGTTGATGAACTGAGGAGCCCATAAAGTGCTTGTCCCCATTAAAGGAAAACCATTCGAAACTGATACCTGGCTGAACAAGAACACTCCTTTTGCACAGGCTCAACTTCGTTAGTTGTTCTCAATGATTATTGGCAAATTCAGTGGCTAAGGCAGCAGCTGTATTTTCAGGAAGTGAATAACCCTCTTGCTGCTTGAGAGTTTCCTCCAGGTTAAAATGAGAGGATACTGAAGGGGAAAGAGGCTGAGCAGTCCCTGCCTATGGTGTTGCTATTTCTTTTGGGCAAGGCCCAGAGTTTACAGGGCTCTTAAACAGGCAAACATAGGTGTAATAAAAATAATAACCCTTGAGGAGCAGCACCTACAAATTCATGAAGAACATGCTCTTCCCAAGAACATTCCTCCAGGTGATGGCAGGAATCTCAGACCCTTCCCTGGTGTGTGTCAGAGAATCAGGTTTGAGTTTGATCCTGGTTACACAGAAACTGCCAGCTCTGGACAGTCAATTGACTGGAGCTGTTATTGTGAAATGAAAACAAAAACAGGATACAAGCATGTGTTAGGACAGTTCCCCCTCTAGCAGAACAGGGTGGTGCCCTTGCACTTTACCACCCCATTCCTTTGTTCCAGTTAATTCTGTGCACCTTCTCAGAGCACACCATGTCCTACTGTTTGGAGCCCGTTTGCTTGCTCCTTGCTTTGCATTGGTTAAATGAAATCTGTCCCTTGTTAATTTGCTTCTCACATCTCTCTCACAGGTAGCCGAGAGACTGCTTTCACCTACGCTGTCAGTGCTGCCGGGGTGGTGAACGCGATCAGCCGGGCTTGCCGGGAAGGAGAGCTCTCCAGCTGTGGCTGCAGCCGGACAGCCCGGCCCAAGGACTTGCCCCGAGACTGGCTGTGGGGTGGCTGCGGGGATAACGTGGAGTATGGATATCGTTTTGCCAAGGAGTTTGTGGATGCCAAGGAGAGGGAGAAGAACTACGTGAGAGGTTCAGAGGAGCAGGCTCGTATGCTGATGAACTTGCAGAACAATGAGGCTGGTCGCAGGGTAAGACGATTGCTGACACTTCTTTCTCAGAGGCAGATTCAGAAGGCTTGGGATAGCTAGATACCAAATTACTTGGAGGTTTGATGAGGGATAGTCCAGTGATGCCCCAGTAATGGTGTATAGTCACAATTTCTGCATTTTTGTGAATATTACAGGCAATATTATATTCCAGTTTTAATGGCAGTCTTCCGTTGCCAGCTAAAGCCAAAGAGTTTTTGAGTCTGTTGAGATACTGTATGGCACACATGTGCAGACATGTAAGCCCGTCCCAAATAAACTAAGTGCTGCCATGGCCCACTTTCAAGGTTTACGTCTCAGAAACTGGCTTCCCAGAGCTGCCAAAGTGACAGGCTGGTGGTGAAAAAAAAGAATCAGTTGTCATGTGGAATTCTTTTCTACTGCCATCACTCAGATTTTTGGGAATATAAAGCCAGAAGCAAGCATCGAATCAGGCTACCTGGCTATCTCTGAAACTTATGCCTTGCTCAGTTACTTTGGTATTGGGCAAAATAAATAATTTGCATCCAGGGGACAGACATTTTCAGAGAAGATACAGAGTTTTGGTTTGGAGACTCCTGGGGATGGAGAATCCATCACTTCCCTTTGTAGTATGCTACTGTCATTAATCACCCTGTTTCAGCACTGCACCTCATTATCATTTAAATTTATCTGGTGTCAGCTTCCAATCAGTTCTTTTTCTGACTTTTACAGCTAGATCCAAAAGCCTCTTAGTAATCAGAATTTCCTCTGCATAGAAGTATTTATCTAATGTAATTTATTCACCACTCTTTCTTGACAAACTAGATTGAGCACTGAAGACTCTCTCACTTTCAGAGGTTCTCATCAGCCATCAAATCATTTTCATGTCACTTTAGTGTACCCTTTCCAGTTTTCCCATATCCTTTAAGAAACTGGATACCAAAATGACATGCTGGGTTCTGGTATTGGTCTCACTGATGCTGTAAATGTAGGTGAAGTTGCCCCCTTTGTAAGCGTTCAGTGTATGCACATTTGCTTTTTACACAATTCCTCTGTCTGTGATTAATAGCCTGGAAGGTGGAGCATCATTCATATGCTGTACAATGGTGTAATTCTGTCTCTTTCAAAATGTAGAACAGGAATACTTATTTGAGCATTTCTGTCTTTTCCACAGGGTGTTTAAAATTTTTATCATTCTTCCCTAGTAGTGAGCTTTTCTGAGGTTAACTTTATTTCTAATGCATGTTAAAAAATCCTATTAAGTGTACTTAGCCTTGCTCTTTTGCATATTCTTAACTAATATCCTTAGTTCCCTTATCAATTTTCTGCCCTTTCTTATTTCTAATTGTTACTGAATTATCTTTCCCTTTCCAATGTATGTCTGTCTTTTCTGCCTGTAATTTTGGCTTCGTTTTGACACCAAAGAAGATTGGCTTTATTTTTTTGATTGTGAAGTCAATGTGTCAGGTTGAAACATTGCAAATACTCCGTGGTTCTTTTGTAAAATCATATTGGGGTAAATTTGCAGTAGGTGGAAAACTGTGGACTTGAAAGCTGTAGAACTCAGTGGGTTTTGGTTTGGGGTTGGTTTTTTTTGGCTTGGAAAGGCAGAGGGTCTGCATTTGCCTAGAAATGAGGTGGGGGAGGGGGGGCACGCGTCCTCCATGGAGTAGCAGCGTGTAAGTGACATTCTTCTCTGCATTGCTTGCTTTGAACATCTTATATGTCGAGTCATGAACTTGCATTACTACAAATAAATACCCTGCCTAAAATAGGGAGCGTGTATGTTATGAGACTTTTTAACAGCCAGTCCTGTAACCTTGAGGGATCTGGAGACAGAATATGGCCAATAGTTTGAGGTATCAGTTGAACTGTAGTAACATCTGTATTAGATGATCAAGTCAGAATATACTTGCTCCACAGCATGGGTGAAACACTAACCTGTCTTGTTATTCTTGTTATATGGGCAAGAATCTCTCTGAGCTGTGATTTCAGATGATGATGTGGTTTTAAATGGAAGAAAACTTTGTCCTGCTTTAAGGACCAAGCTAAAACCAGTTATGTCTTGCCTTTACTACAGTGCAGAAAATTGTTTAAATTGTGTTTGGAATGCTACAGTGCCCATGCTCCTTTGGACTCCATAGACAAGCTCTCAAGGCGATTTCTGTGTCTCCAGTTGACACAGGGCATGGACAAAAGCTTTCCAAAAGGGCCAGCAAAAGACAATATTATTTCAAGCTTGGTTTTTGTAGACTCTGTAGAACAGATGGCCATAGAAATAACCTTAGATTAAATGAACACAAGTCATTTTAGATTAAATTAAATGGAAGTATAAACCAGTGTGTAATTAAGCTTGTGGATTTCAAAGAACAAACTCTGATAGACTAAGGGAGCCAGTTAGTGAACTCAGCCGAGGAATTCAATGTGGAGGAGGTCTGGAACTTTTTCAAGTCAAAGATGCTAAAGCCATTACAATTCTGCATGCCAAGCAAGAGGAAAAGGCTTGTAGGAAGAATATCCAGACCTCACTGAATGAATAACTACCACAGAGAAGCTGTTAGGAATAGACCGAAGGCCTACTAAGAATGGTGAAAAACAACTGATAGCAAGAAATAATGAAAAGCTCTTTCTTAGAGGTGAAGAAGTGTAAAGAAGAAGTGAAAACAGTACCAAATTGCACTGAATCAGACCTTGCAAAGGGTAGTAAAATAAACAAACTTTGCAAATTGGAGGAGGTTGGAAGAGACTGCTAGTCAATGAGGATGGGCCTGAGTCTACAAACAGGGTAGCTTTGGTCCCCAAAGTAAGCAACTGCTTTACCTGGGGCTTCAAGTTGGAATGAGGGGTGTTGCTCATGGGGAGGGGTACTGTATGTCTGCTGCACAAATGGAGATGTCTTTTTCTGTGCTCAATACTTCTGCCTAGGGGAATTACTGGTTGTAGTGTAGATTTTTTTAAACCCCCTGGGACTGTCCTTTTGGGGGGAAGCTAGGCAGGGTGCCCTAGGGGCAGGCAAGGTCTGTCACAGTAGGCTGTGGCTGATGGTGCTGGCACCCTGTGTGAGCGAGGAGGGCATGAGGAGGCAGCCATCGTGTTCAGTGCGAGCAAGGAGGGCATGAGGAGGCAGCTGTTGTGTTCAGACAGGTAGAGGAAGAGCTGAGCGGCAAGTACTGAAGTCTGGGGCCAGCAGACCTGAGGTGGGTGGGGTGGTGCAGGGGGCTGCTGATGGAGGGGAGTTGGAGATCGGGTTGAATGGTTCAGATGGGAGTCAAGTGGCAGGAAACAGTTGGAAGAATGGAGGGCTGTGGAGTAAATGAGGCTGGGGCTTTGGGGTGGATTGAGTGGATGAGGATTTGGGGGTAGTGAGGAATGGAGCTGCTGGGATCAGGAAAGGAGATGAATATGAAAGGATAATGGAGATGAGACCTGGGATGGCTCTGGGATGGCGTTGCTACGGGTTCCAGGGTTGTCTGGTCAGGATGGCATTTGGCCAGTACAGAGCAGCCTTTCCTCTTGGCTCTTAGAAGTATATTAGCATGGGAGCAAAGGAGAAAGGCTGGAAATGGAAATTATCACCACCAACATGGAAGCAAAACTCAGGTAGCGTAAGCTCTCAAGTCACAGGGGGTGCTTGCTTTCTTTCCTGGCACCTGGCAGCACAGGCGGTGTGACCTTGGCAGCGTTTATAGCAAGAACTGGAGGAAAGGGTATCTCGGAGTAAAAGGCAAAATAGGAAATAATTTGAGAAGAATTTCTCAAAGATTGATCACACAATCATTTAGAACATCACTGATTTCCTAAAAAACAAACTAGATCAGACAGGTCTCATTTATCTGAACTTCTATGAGACATTTAATGTATTTCCCACATGGGAAACACTTGGTTAAATTGGGAAAGATAGGGAAAAATGCAGCAGCTATGAGATGGACGAGAAACTGGTTCAAGGAAAGATGTCAGTAAATTGTGTGAAAGGATGTATCTTGATCTTAACAGAGCTTAATTAGCAGAGTTCTTCAAGAACTTGCCCTAAGACCAACACTTAGTGTTCTTGTTTCTCAGCCTCAACACAAGAGTTAGGAATGGGCTGGTGGAATTTGCTGATGCAAAGGTGGCAGATGATATGAATACAGAGGAGAATCCGAATTTTGTACAACAGCTAATGACATCAAATAAAACAACATTAAGACCATCATTTGAAGTCTTTTATGAAAAATATTTTTAGTCATTAGGAAATGAGTAGAAAAGAATTGGCAGAAGCAGTCAGCTGCAGATGACTGTAGATGTGATGTGTCTCAGAAGGTGGTAAATATCCTATAATGTACTAGGGAAAGTGTTTTTATAAAACATGGGGGAATACTGGTGCCATGGTATTAAGCTCTCGTGAGGCCCCAAAATATTGTATGTTCTCGTATTCCCAAGCAAAATGACCTCAGACTAGAAAAGGCTTGTTATGGCTGACCCAGGGGATAGGAATCTTTTCTTAAGAAAGTGGGCTAGAATAGCTTGCCATGTTTAGCCTAGCAAAGTGAAAGCTGAGAGAGGATATGACTGATGTCTGTGATAGTGGGAGAAATAATAGGGAAGGAAAAGTACTTTTTAAGCAAAAGGTCAATTTGGCACAATGGCAAATGGGCATAAAGTGAATGCATTTAGGCTGGAAATTAGAAAAAGATATTTTATCATTGGCATAGTGATCAGAATAATCGTGGCTGAAAACGTAATTCCTTTTAAAAGGGCACTTTATCCATTTAAGGAAAATATTATTTGAAGCGATGCCTACAATAGCAAGAGATCATACTTAATAATTGAGGAGGTCTCATCTAGTCCTACATTCCTAAACTTCTGAGATTCTAGTTTTGGAAGTAGGAAGGTGCACATATAGCTCCATACTCCTGAACGTTGGTGCTGAAAGAAAGAAGTGGTGGAGACATGGTGGTGAGCACTGCTAAGTGACCACCAGGTACCGTCCCACATACAGCCTTGCCCCACTTTCCCAGCCAGTGTTTCAGTTGATATCTTCTGATTTCTAGGCAGACTTTTGGTGTGTCCCCTCAGTCAGTTTCCTGTGGGTGAAAAAGTGCTCCTTGAGCCCTGAGGAGCTCTGGTGGCAGGAGAGAATACCGTCCCTGCTCTCTGTGGTCCTCAGAAGGAGCTGAGTGGGACAGGAGGGGACCAGAGGTCTTTTATCTTACAGGCAGTTCTGACCCCATCACCCCTTCGCTCCACGTCAGAGTCCTTGTGGTGGTGGCTCCTGGCTTTATTGCCCTTGTTTGTTTGTCTTTGGCTGTTATCTCAATATGTCCTTTCCTTCCATCTGTCTTTTTCTTCCAATTGGTCTCCATTACTCTTTCTTATTTCCCCTCATTCCTTATCTGTCGCCCTGTCTGGCGGACTGTAGCGGTCAGTCCTTCTGCACTGTTTACCCAGTCGGCATATGGCAGGTCTCAGTCATCAGTCACTCAAGCCAGTGCCAGAAGAGCCTGGAAGGGGGTCTGGCTAATTGACCACATAGGAATTCCCCATTAATTCTCTTCCTGTTCCCATTCTTGCAATAAAAGAATTGGAAGAGAACTTGGGCTTATGGGAAGGGGCTTTAAGCATTTCCATTAGAGGCATTTTCAACCTGTTTAAGTGGCATGGCCATCGATCAGACCCTGCCCTCAGAACTGCATGTGAGGTCTGTTATTCTTTACCTTGACCTGAGCCCAGTCAGAGAGGAATTCTCCAATTTCCTCTGCTTTCTCCCCATCCGGACAGCAAAGGGGGAGAATGGGAGAGCCATTTAGTGGCTGAAGCTATGGTTACCTCCACGGGACGTTGATAGTGGGAGCTGCAGGGGGCTGAGTGACGCCATGCTTACCTGTGATAACTAGTAGTGTTCGCATTCCCCAGCACAGCTACTACCCACATAGGCCAGATGTTTTGAGCATCAGTTGCTTAAAGCCAAGTCAGAGTGAACGCAGTCCCATGACATTAACTGAGAGGGATCAAGTTGCAGTGTTTTTCTAAAGGAACAAAGCCCAGGATTAGGAAGAATCATACTTTATAAAAACACATGCAAGGGCAAGGGAGGCACGAGTGAAGGGAGGCACGAGTGGCCTGGGATTTGACAGAACCATAACCAAAAAGTGCTAACACAAGCGTATAACAAGCAGGCTGGCAATGCAGTGAGGATATAGTAAGTGTTTGGGGCTCGGGAAATTCAGATGTAGTTCTGTCTGGTTACAGTAAACTCCGCAAGTAACGGTGTGGTTGGTCCTCTGCAGTTGTAGTTTGATCCAAGACAAGTGCTTAACTCCCAGCCTGTAGCTGTTACATTGTGCTGTGAGGGATTGCCTCAGTAAATCGAGCTTGGAGGAGCAGAACTAAAGCTTCTCTGTTTTAAGGACTCACTCCATTGACTTTCTCAGGAACTGGATTGGCCTCCATGTGATTTAGCCATTAAGCCAAATTGAATCTTCACTAGCTGTCAAAAGCACTAGACGTTAGTTAGACCAGGAGCAACCCGTTGTTGTAGGAGAACTCTGACCTCTTGCTGCTGGTCCAGAACGTCGTCGTAGGCAGAAGGTTTTGCTTGCGGTATGCTCAATTGCCTGAATCACCTTTGGCACACAAATGCAGAGAGCTGGGAAGATTTCTTCTGTGTCGGTGAGTAAGGCAGAAAAGAAACCTCAGTGTTTGGCTGCTTTCTTCAGCAGAAACCTGGCTAGAAGACTTATCGCCGTCTCCTTAAGAGCATCCTAGTTTTTCCTCATGTTCCTTGATCTCCCCCAGCAGATCCCGCTGGTGGTAATTTTGCAGCTGATGCCAAGCACCTCTGCTTGGCCTGTGGGATCTGGGAGAGGCACTGCCCTGCAAATGTGCAGGATGCAGGGTGGTCGTGGGAGCGCAGATGCGAGCCTGATGGTGAGAGCATGAGGAGCAAGGGCTGGGGGGTGAGCTGCTGTAACGCGGAGTAGCTCTGATTGCAGGGCATGCCAGCTCTTTGCTTTGCAAACTCTGTCAGTGCCTGCGAGTGCTGACGGGATCTCAGGTAGCATACAGTTTTGTACCTGTCTCTGAACTTAATGGGAAGAACAAACCCAATCTGCATTTCCGTTTATTTTCTTAGGTTTTGAGCTTTGTTATTCTAGAATGTTTTTCAGTATTTCTCTCTCCTCACAGCTAGCATGGGGAGGAGGAGAGTAACCACTGTTTTTTCCTTTACATCATGTACTTGCTCTGCTGAGGGTTTAACACTCACTGGCCTGAATTTTGAAGACTATTTGCTGATTTTCCTGCCGGATTTTCAGGGGTACGATACATCTACAGCCCCCGCAAACTCCTGAAAACGTAGCCGAAAGTTATCTGGGAAAAGACAGCGCCGAAAGCTTGCGTTTGTCGTTTAAAAAGTAGGCCCTTCTGCGTGGCGAGTCCTGTTAGTGCAGAGAAACGTCTGCACACAAGATGGCGCAGGTTCGCAGTTAGGGCCAGCCCCTCAGCCCTGCCCTGGAGGGAGGGCGCCTGC